AGAATTGCCTGAACCCAGGAGGCGGAGGTTGCGGTGAGCCGAGATCGCGCCATTGCACTCTAGCCTGGGTAACAACAGTGAAACTCCGTCTCAAAAAAAAAAAAAAAAAAAAAAAAAAAGACCAGCCTGGCCAACATGGTAAAACCCCATCTCTACTAAAAATACTGCCGGGTGCAGTGGGGCATGCCCGTAATCCCAGCTCCTCAGGAGACTGAGCCAGGAGAATTATGTGAACTTGGAAGGCGGAAGTTGCAGTGAGCCAAGATTGCACTCCAGCCTGGGCAACAAAATGAGACTTTTTCTCATATAAAAAACAAAAACAAAAACAAAACGAACAAAGAAAAATAAATGAAACTCAGACTTAATTTGAGTCCTCTGGAGCTGCTCTAATCCTGTACCACTAAAGGTGGAGAACAGTGTTGAGAGATGGGGAGCTGGAGGTTAAATGTAGACAACAGAAGACATTCAAGACATTCAAACAGAACAGAACAAACAAAGCTGAACCTCTTAACAAACATATAAGCAAACAACTCTACTGTCATCTTAGGAAAATTACCAGTGAGATCCTGACACTTGAGTAGCCTCAGGCCCCTAAAGACCTTTCAAGGCAGCTACCATGGACGGCACATCTAGGTTGGAATCCACCACTGACATCAGTCAATATAGTTGCTAATAACAAATTTCAATTTTTTGAGCACTTCCTTTGTCAGGGACTGCGCTACATGTTTTTCATCGTGCCCTCTACCTTCAAATAATCTACTCAGATAGAGACTGCCAACCCCATTTTATAGATGAAGAAACTAAGGCAAAGGAAAGCTACGTAACTCGCTGCAGTTCACAAAGCCAGACAGTGGCAGAGCAGGGCTGCCAATGAGTTCTAAGTGACTCCAGAGCTTAAGCTCCTAAGCATTATGCAAAACTCCTCTCAGTTACAAAAGAGAAGCCAGAGTCAACAAATGTAAAGACTTCTACAGGGTGCTGGTGAGAACCCCACTGCCACTCACTAAAGGAAAAACATAATCACTGCCCTGGCATCAAGCTGTGTCTCTGTGCTAGGAGACTGGGACCTGTGAACTACAGACCACATTTCCATTCTTCTTAAAAGTTTCACCAAGATTGTCATATTCCATTCTTTTGTTAAACTTAATGTTTTCTAATTTATAATATGCATTATACCATAAAATGTTCATGACCTCAGTGTAGAGTGATGAACTGGTTTGCCTGGCACTTCCCCCAGTTTTAGCACTAAAAGGCCTGAGTCCTAAGAAATCCCTCATCTTTGACAAAGCAGAATGAGTAGTCACCCGATGATAGTCCAGAAATGTTACTTCTAAGAATTTATCCAAAAAGAGTACATTTTTTTTTTTTTTTTAAATAGACAGGGTCTTGCTCTGTCACCAGGCTGGAGTGCAATGACATGAACACAGTTCACTACAGCCTTAACCTCCAGGGCTCAAGTGACCCTTCCACCTCAGTAAGTAGGTGGGACCATAGGCATGCACCACCGGGCTTGGTTAACTTTTTTTTTTTTTTTTTTTTGTAGAAACAGGATCTCACCATGTTGCCCCAGGCTGAAATAGTACTATTTATAATGCTTATTATAATGTCAAGTAATAGTGGAGCAGTTAAATTATATCAGATCCTCTTGATAAAATGTTCTACAGTCATTGAAACATACAGTTAGAAAGCTTATATATACACTTTGAAAAAGACTTCTCCAGGCCAGGTGAGGGGGCTCACGCCTGCAATCCTAGCACTTTGGGAGGCAGAGGCACATGGATCACCTGAGGTTGGCAGTTCAAGACCAGCCTGAACAACATGGAGAAACCTCCTCTCTACCAAAAATACAAAATTAGCCGGTGTGGTGGGGCATCCCTGTAATCCCAGCTACTCGGGAGGCTGAGGCAGGAGAACTGCTTGAACCCGGGAGGTGAAGGTTGAGGTGAGCCGAGATGGCAACCATTACACTCCAGCCTGGGCAACAAGAGTGAAATTCCATCTCAAAAAAAAAAAAAAAATACTTCCCCAAATGTTGGCCGGATGCAGTGGCTCCTGCCTGTAATCCCAGCACTTTGGGAGGCTGAGGTGGTGGATCACCTGAGATCAGGAGTTCGAGACCAGCCTGGCCAACATGGTGAAACCCCACGTCTACTAAATATACGAGAAAATTAGCTGGATGTGGTGGTGGGTGCCCGCAATCTCAGCTACTCAGGAGGCTGAGGCAGACAATCGCTTGAACCCGGGAGGCAGAGGTTGCAGTGAGCAATCATGCCACTATACTCCGGCCTGGGTGACAGGGCAAGACTCTGTCTCAAAAAAAAAAAACAACCAAACAAACAACCAAAATGATAAGTAAAAATAAGGTTACTGAAGCTATAGATGCAATTTTATCAATGTTAAGTTATGTAGAACATAAAATAAGGATTGGATGAGGCATAGAATATAAACTATTGATTTATTAAAATAGTAAGAAGAGGCAATTTTGTTCTTATTTCCAGTATTTTATGGTAATTCACTGGATGATTACTTCTTTGTTAATGTCATTTTTTTTCCTTGAGATGGTGTGACTCTGTTACCCAGGCTAGAGTGCAGTGTCACAATCTCTGTTCACAGCAGCCTCAAGCTCCCTGGGCTCAAGTAGTCCTCCCACCCCAACCTCCTGAGTAGCTGGGGGTATAGGTGTGCACCACCAAGTCTGGTTAGTTTTTAAATTTTTTGTAGAGACGGGGTCTGACTATGTTGCCCAGGCTGGTCCTGAACCCCTGGGCTCAAGCAATCCTCCTGCCTTTGCCTCCCAAAGTGCCTAGATGACAGGCATGAACAACCATGTCTGGCCAACGTCAAGATGAGATGTATAGCTAGCAAGAAAACAATAAAACACAGAGACAGATATAAAAAAACACTCTTCAACCACAGCAAACTCAGGGCCTGGTTTTCTAGCTATAATCCATCTCTCCACAGACTGTTCATTTTGGGCTCTGCCATACACACCCACCTCAGCTAGCTTGTTGAAGCCCTGTGAATGGCCTTCCTGCCGCTCCACCTGGCACTTCTTGGCATAGCGACGGTTCCCGTCCATTATGAATGCAATGTGTTTTGGCATTGGGCCTGCCTGTGGAATATGAAGACAAATGATGAACAGGTCTCACATGCTTCAGGGATAAAGGAAGACACTACATCCCAAGGTGACAGGTTTGGGGTATGTGATGAAAGCCCTAACGAAGGGAATTGGGTATTTTGTGCTTTGAGCTCAGTAAAAAGATATTAAAGTTTACTTACTTACTTAGTTAGTTACTTATTTATTTATTCTGAGGCAGCACTCAGTCACCCAGACTATAGCCTTGGCCTCCTGGGCTCAAGTGATCTTCCCACCTCTGCCTCCTGCTGAGTAGCCAGGACTACCAGCACAGGCCACCACACCTACCTAGCCCTTTTTCTTTTTTAAGAGATGTGGTCAGCTGGGCATGGTGGCTTAGGCCTGTAATCCCAGCACTTTGGGAGGCCAAGGCGGGTGGATGATGAGGTCAGGATATCGAGACCATCCTGGCCAACATGGTGAAACCCTGTCTCTACTAAAATTACAAAAATTAGTCAGGCGTGGTGTTGTGTGCCTGTAGTCCCAGCTACTTAGGAGGCTGAGGGAGGAGAATCGATTGAGGCCTGGAAGCAGAGGTTGTAGTGAGCCAAGATTGCGCCACTGCACTCCAGCCTCTCCAGCCTCGGTGACAGAGCGAGATTCTGTCTCAAAAAAAAAAAAAAAATTCCAAAAAAAGAGAGATGGGATCTCCCTGTGTTGCCCATGTCTCAAACTCCTGGGCTCAAGCAATCCTCTTCATCAGTCTTCCATAGTGCTGGGATTACAGGCATGAGCCACCACAGCTGGCCTATTTATTTTTATTTACATGTTTACTGAGCACTTACTACATGCCAAATACTATGCTGGGCTTCTTATATTTCATCTTACCATATAGGTCTATAAAGGAAATAGTATTATCTTCATTTTACAGGTGGGAAAACAGGTTCAGAGAGTTCTAGTGACTTGCATTAATCACACAGTTAAAAAGAGGCAAATGGGGATTCAAACTGATGTCGATCTGTTTCCAGAGTTAAACATATGCTCTTAACTACAGGCTTGGTTTAATCAGTCTCCAACTAGAGAACAAAGGGAAAACAATTTTTTTTCTTTCTCCTTGAGACAGGGTCTTACTCTGTTACCCAAGCTGGATGAAGTGTGGTGGCATGATCTCGGCTCATTTGCAACCTCCACCTTTTGGAATGAGAAAGATCCTCCCACTTCAATCTCCCAAGTAGTTGGGACTATAGGAATGTACCACCACACCCAGCTAATTTTTTTATTTTTTGTAGAGACAGGGGTCTCACCATGTTGGCCAGGCTGCTCTTGAACTCCTGGCCTCAAGAGATCTGCTCGACTTGGCCTCTCAAAGTGCTGGGATTACAGGTGTGAGCCATCATACCTGGCCAGGAAAAATACTGATGGATATAGTCAAATGAAGATGGTGCCTTCTACAGAAAAAAAGGCACTCATAGGGCTGGGTGCAGTGGCTCATCCCTATAATCCCAGCACTTTGGGAGGACAAGGCAGGCAGATCACTTGAGGTCAGGAGTTCAGGACCAGCCTGGCCAGCATGTTGAAGCCCTGTCTCTACTAAAAATGTGAAAATTAGGGCCATGTGTGGTGGCTCACGCCTGTAATCTCAACACTTAGGGAGGCCAAGGAGGACAGATCACGAGGTCAGGAGTTTGACACCAGCCTGGCCAAGATGGTGAAACCCTATCTCTACTAAAAATATAAAAATTAGACAGGTGTGGTGGCGGGTTCCTGTAATCCCAACTACTTGGGAAGCTGAGGCAGGAGAACTGCTTGAACCTGGAAGGCAGGGGTTGCAGTGAGCCAAGATCAGGCCACTGCACTCCAGCCTGAGCAACAGAGCAAGACTCCATCTCAAACAAAACAAAACAAAACAAAACAAAACAAAACAAAACAAAACAAAACACATACACACACACACACACACACACAAATTAGCCGGGAGTGGTGGTGGGAGCCTGTAATCCCAGCTACTCAGGAGGCTGAGGTTGCAGTGAGCTGAGATCACACCACTGCACTCCAGCCTAGGTGACAGAGAGAAACTGTCTCAAAAAAAAAAAGGCACTCATTCCTGATCTCTAGCCAACTGCTGACACACAGGACCTGGGGCCCAATATTGTTGGATCTGCTGATTTTGCAAGAAAACCAAACATCAGGATTTTTGTAAAAATTTTGTTTTTCGACGCAAACAGAACACTTTTTCTGAGCCAAACAAAACTTACTTGGAGCCAGGCATGGTGGCTCATACCTGTAATCCCAGAACTTTGGGAGGCTGAGGTGGGCAGATCACTTGAGGCCAGGAGTTTGAGACCAGCCTGGCCAACATAGTGAAACCCTGACTCTACTAAGAATACAAAAAAAAAAAAAAAAAAAATTAGTCGGGCGTGGTGGCACACGCCTATAATCCCAGCTACTCGGGGAGTCTCAGGTGGGAGAATCACTTGAACCCAGGAGGCGGAGGTTGCAGTGAGCCAGGATCACACCACTGCACTCTAGCCTGTGCAAGAGAGTAAGACTCCATCTAAAAAAACCCCAAAAAAACAAAACTTGGCCGGGTGCACTCCAGCCTGCGCAACAAAGTAAGACTCCATCTAAAAAAAAAAACAAAACAAACAAAACTTGGCTGGGTGCAGTGGCTCAGGCCTGTAATCCCAGCACTTTGGGAGGCCGAGGCAGGTGGATCATGAGATCAGGAGTTCAAGACCAGCCTGACCAATACGGTGAAACCCCGTCTCTACTAAAAGTACAAAAATGAGCCAGGCGTGGTGCCATGCACCTATAGTCCCAGCTACTCAGGAGGCTGAGGCAGGAGAACTGCTTGAACCTGGAAGGCGAAGGTTGCAGTGAGCCAAGATCATGCCACTGCACTCCAGCCTGGGCGACAAAGTGAGACTCCATATCAAAAAAAAAAAAAAAGCAAAAAACAAAACCCTTATTTGGCTTGGGGCAGCTGTGAGTTGTCTACCATAGCAAAAATGGACTCCTTGGCCTATTTTTTTTCCTTACCTGGGTGGGCTCTTCCCTGACTGCTTCCTCAATACTTCTTCATTTTCTACTTTTGTCTACCACAAACAGCCTTTCTGTACCCCAAAATCCATTCAAGTTATGCAGCTTGTTCTTCCAAACCTACCACTGCAGTAGTTCCCCAGGGAGATACTTCCCATTTCCTGGACTGCTTGAGATCACTTGGCATTTGTGTGTGGGCATGTGTGAGGCTTGTATAAAGGTTACTGACTCATAAATTCATTACTACCTGCTGCTTGACAGCCTGTGGCTGAAAAACAAAACCAAATGGACTGGCCCCAATCTCAAACCTGTCTTAGGCAGATATAATATTGCTGTGATTCCTAGAGAAAAAGGTGAGGAAAGATTTGGGGAAGAGGGGAGATCATAGTCTTCAAATGGCTGAAAGACAACCCTACTAATAATTAAGAACTGCTAGACATTTTGCTAAGTGCTTTATATTAATGTCTCATTTAATTCTCGTAACAATTCTACAACTGTTAAATTCACAGGGTTACTAAATGATGGAACAGGACTTTCAGGCCAGGTGCAGTGGCTCAGGCCTGTAATCCCAGCACTTTGGGAGGCTGAGATAGGTAGATCACCTGAGGTCAGGAGTTCAAGACCAGCCTGGCCAACAAGGTGAAACCCCATCTCTACTAAAAATATAAAAATTAGCCATGTGTGGTAGCACACACTTGTAACTCCAGCTACTTGGGTGGCTAAGGCAAGAGAATTGCTTAAACCTGGGAGGTGAAGGTTGCGGTGAGCTAAGACTGCACCATTGCACTCCAGTCTGGGTAACAGAGCAAGACTGTCTCAAAATAAAAAAAAGAACAGGACTTTCATTCATGTTTGTCTGACTCCAGAGCCCAAACTTTTTTTTTTGAGACAGGGTCTCATTCTGTCACCCAGGCTGAAGTGCAGTGATACAATCATGACTCACTGCAGCTTTGACCTCAGCTCAAGAAATTCTCCCACTTCAACCTTCCAAGTAGCTGGGACTACAGGTGCATACCACCAAGCCCGGCTAATTTTTGTATTATTTGTAGAACCGGGGTTTTGCCATGTTGCCCAGGGTGGTCTCGGCTTCTGAGCTCAAACACTCTGCCCACTTTGGCCTCCTAAATTTCTGGGATTACAGGCATAAGCAACCAGGCCCACTCTTAGCCATTGCTCTGCTGCCAGATCTAAGAATAAATCAAAGATTAACCTATTTAAATCCAGAGGAAAGTATAAGGAACAATGGATTCAAGTTCCAGGGAAACAAATTTCAGTTCTCTATAAGAAAAATTTAGCAGTATAGGCTGCCCAATGATATTGAGAGGCCTGGGCTTCCTGAAAATGTCAGAGTTAGGACAAAAGTCTACCAGAAATGTAGACCTGGAAGTTACTATTCTAAGACACTTTGGTTTCCTTGCCAAATTCCACTTAACCTTAATAACAGATTCTGACATAAGACCAGAAGGCCAACTGATGCTCTGGGGCATTGGCTCACCTTTATGATGTTGGCACAGAACCGCTCCCAGAGTGAGAGCTCTCCTTCCTTGATCCATGACATAGTTATTTTCCAGTCAGAAGATCACCCCAAAACAACCAAACACCAGCCAGGTAACCTTGGATAAACAAGAAAGAAAATAAGACACCAAGATTTGTAAAGAGCTATAACTGACTTCTGGGGAATCAGCTGGACTGTGGAGAGCAGTCAGCATTAGAATCCAAAGTCATTGGTCTAAGCCTCTAATCTTTTACCACTCAGAGTATCATAAGCCAGTGAGACCTTTGGAGGGCAAAAGCCTTTTCTCGGTTCTCCTGGTTTTGCGGACTTGTTCCCATTCCCATTTCCTCAGTATCTGCACTGACTTCTTCTGAACATCTAAGTCGGTTTCCTGCCATATCATGGTGACCACATCTTGATCATTCCCCATTTCTTCCTTCTCCATCTTCCCCCCAAGCTGTTTCCCACTCTGCGCTCCCAGTTACTAACCCCTTCAGTTATCGCACCCCTGCTACTTCACGCCTCAGTGGTCTCCTGATTATTCCCTCTGCCGTCCTTCTGCTTCTCCCGCAGCTGCCCCGCGCCACTCACTCTCTCTTCCTCTAGTTCATCCCTTCAGTTCACCCGCACCTGATTCGCTCCGCTAGGCGCGTCCTCACTGCTTAAGTGGGCCAGCACTTCCTCACGACGTGGCGCCAGAAGAATACGTCATCTTTGGGCGCTGGGGCACGCCCCCTCCGTCACTCAAGGGGTGGGGCCCTGCCCTGCGACTGTGCCTGCGGGCTAGGAGGGGAGGGCTCAGCGAGCGTTTTGGGGCTGCAGTTCTCAGTCCCGCGGGACGTGGAAGGGGGTGTGGGTCAGAGCCAGGGTCCTGTGACTCAGCGGGGCAGGAGGCCGGGCTCCAGGCCACGTTCTAGGGGACAGGCTGGGGAAGGCGGGGTTGAGCACAGCGTGGTCAGCGGAGGGGTCGGTAGACTCACATATTAGGAGGCCTCTGGAAAACGCGCCAGGGAAATGTGTCAGGGGGCAAGAATCGAGGCGTTTCTCGGCCTTCGAAGGCCGCTTAGGACTGCTGAGAAACGGAGCAAGGCAGCGTCCTTACCTTGGAATGCCGCAGAACCGGCCTTCATTACAGCACTAGTACATACTCTTGAAAATTATTTTGTTAACCTTTCGTGTTTTATTTAGTGGATTTAATCCTCTGGGAAGAAGTTCCCAGCCGCAGCCAATCTTTACAGACGCGCAGAATATGAATCTATTTTGAGGCACCAGTGTTTTGGGCTTTGTGGATTCCCAAGACCTATCCCAAAGAACTCAAGAGAAGGGATAAGGCCAGAAGAACCTCTGCCAAAGAATGACTTCTAAAATAACAGAAAGGTACTCGCTTTGGCAGCACATAAACGAAAATAACAAATTAACCCTAGCAGAAAAGCTAAGGGCATTAGCTTTGTACTGAACCTTTACGAGAAAAGGGTTGCAAGAATTTTAGGCTCACAAAAGAAATTCGTTCAGTTTTCTCAAAATTGAAAAAGGAGGAAAAAATTCTTAACAGATTCTGATACAACCAATATTTCTTGCAAAGCATAATACAACTTCCATCTGAATGTTTTGAGTGGAATAGAAATTCACAATTGTCATAAGAACCTTTTGTCGCATTTCACCTTACATTATTAAAGAAATGAGGCAAGGAAGAGACGTTTTACTGGCAATGTCTAACTGATGTCTTCCACTCTTTCTAATGAAAGGGGCTATTTTAATACAGCAACATGATCAAAGAAAGCCCTAAAGATGAGTAGAAATGAATAGTATTGAGCTCTTCCATTCTTCCACACACCACCATGCCCGGCTTTGCAACCTGGGGAGTAAATTTCAGCCCAAGTTACTTCATTTTGCAGCAAGACAATTTAACGAAGCCCGCTAGTAGTTTGCTGCTTCATGAGATTCTCCTGTTAGCTTTGACTTTTGATGCAATTAAGGAGCCACAGTCCCTGGAATGGATGTATGAAACTTCTTACCCTTGCTCTGATAGGACTGAGGATTTAAACCGGTTTCCCTGTACTTTGTTAATATACTTGGTTTGCCTCCAATAAAGTTTTTTTTTTTCTTTTTAAAATCCTCCTTCCCTTAGTGGGAATAGATGTTTAAAATTCAGTGTTTTTGCTTGATGACTTGTGATATGTATTTAAAAAAAAATCGATGTTCATCAAAAAGCCAACAAACTTTGGCTCGAAGAAAATGTTGCATTTATAGCTAGTCAGTGAATCTCCTCTGGCCTCAATTTCCCCAGTTCCACAACACATTTCTCTCCTTGGGGTGCTGCAAGGGGTTAATTAATTAAGATTTGTAAAAGGCTTTGAATAGTAGGGGACAAAGTATTATTAGGGTCTCATGCCCCAAGCCATGGCCCCATCCTTTCATCCCAGCCAGTGGCACAGGCAACCCCATTCTTATGCATGCCAAGCCCCTAATCCCCTCTTGAATGTGGAAGCTTCCAAGGAAAGGACAAGAGGCCTTAACTAGAAACAAAAAATCCACTGTAATGAGGTGCTAAGAGGACTGAACTTTCAAGGTTCATTCCTAACAAAGTGGCTGAACAGAGAAACTTAATGGTTCTTCTGTGACTTCTGAGTCCCAATTCAAGAAAGTGGGAATCATGGGAAAGGCAAGAAACATCTGACAAGGGGATGACAGTTTGAGTACCAATAAGTCTTTATTTATTCATTGTATTTTCCCAGGGAAAGGAGAAGGGAAGGGAAGAGTCAGCATGTGTTAATAAATGATTAGAAAATTGGAAATACCCAGTACAGCAAAATCAACCATCAAATAAACACACCCCAGTGATGGGGTCACCAAAGCCCAAAGGGGCTCAATCTCCTGCAGTTTAGGAATGAGGGAAAGGGATTAGGAGAAGGATAGACAGGTACAGGCTTTCCTACCCTCCCTCCCATAAATTCAAGATTTTACACAAAACTTTGGTTTCTAGCAGTAAACATGGAGTTACATTCGTTCGTCTCCTATTAAACAATCTTGTGGCCACTTTGACATAATTTTCTAGCACCTGCATA